TTTCATGTCTTTTCAGGCCATATTTCGTTTTATAAACTTTATAACACAAGTCACACGAAAAGTTGGATATAAAACAAACTTCAGATAATAGATTATCTAGGTCTTGTTCAATATCCATGTTATTGTCAAAAATTCCATCAGTTAGAGCTATATACAAATCATCAAGCTGTGTTTCTACATGAGGTTCAGTGCTCATTTTAAAAACTTGTGCAGGGTGAACGAGCCGAAGTTCAAAATTCAAGTTAAAACGGCAAAACAATAGGAACGACCTGTGCTTCCAGACTAATATTTCTTATAACTATGATTAAAAAACCACAAATTTTTAGGTGACGCAACGAGACTATATAATAAACAGTTATAAATAAAACAGTTATTATTGGTCTAATGAGAAAATAAGTTATAGAACAAAATATTATTGGCCTAATGATACAATGAGCTATAAAACAAAATAGAACAAAAACTCTAAGTGTCAAGTTGTTACATTATTTTAAAAACACTTGAGCTTTCGTTGATTTCCATTAATTGTAAAATGTAATTGTTTTTCATTTAAGATTTGTTACAATGTTTTCACGCTGAGAATGAACCAAACTTTTGTTTTTAATTTCAAAAATATTTTTTACACGAACCTTTGAATACTCAATGTGTAAACGAGAATTGGAATGGTGCAGTGGTTAAAACGCTTGCTTTAGAATTAAGAGGTCAGTAGATGGCACAACATCATAAATTAACATATTGATTAAAACTGATTAATTTTTGGTAGATATTTATATAAGACACAAAATCAAGTCTGTAAAAAAATTATTTTTCCAGAAAAACTCTTTTAAATTTAACTTTTTCTTGTTTTTTTTTTTTTGTTTTTTTGTTCTTTGAGAATTGTGTTACAAAATTTTTTTAAATATTTTTTAATTATTTATGCAATTTTTGGAAGAAAACAAAAGTTCCGAAATAGGCTTAAAATCTTGACAAAGGTACTAGAAAAAAAAGCTACGAAGCGGTTTTTACTATAAAAATTTTAGTCTCTATTTTATGGTAGGGATTTTATTCGTGTGACTTTTTTATTGTGAACAGTTCAGTATATTGGCAATATTGTCGGCAACTTCTCCGGCAAATATTTTAATTCCAACTAAATCCACACCTAAATACCATGAGTAATTCACTCACAAAAATTAAATAAAATTGTGGCTCTGTAAAACCTTTTCTTTATAGTTTCGCCTAAAAAAGCTAAAAAATTTTACTTAATTTTATTTACATTTTTTGACAAGTAAAAATACTTTTTTGTTTATTGATTTTTTGGATTATAGCGCATCATTTGTAAGACAACGGTTGTCTTTTGATTTTTTTGTTTATACGACACAATGATCGCAAAAAGTGACAAACTGAGTTGTCTAGTTTGGTAGACCTGATAGATGTGATAATAAAAACAGTTAGAAGATCGATCGAATAAAAAATAAAAAATCATAAGAAAATATAAAATGAGTGATAAGACTTTTGTGAAGGTGAAGAACGAAGTTAAATGCTCGGGGGAGGGGGGCAGGGGAAAAACCAACTAACACTCAAGTCACTCTGTGTGTAGATCATATGTAACAAACAACAAATATTTGATATTTTGATTTTGAAGACTGTTGATGTCTACATGTGTGATGGTGGTGCATTAGATGTTGATATCTACTGGTGTGATGGTGTAGTGCATAATGTCTACAGGTGTGATGGTGTTGTGCATAGGCTCCGCCAATTCAGCGTATGAGTAGTACTTCGGTACAAAGGGAACTCGTCTTGATTAACTCTGCTATTACGATGTTTCCTTCTCGACAAGTAAATAAATAATCTAGTCGAGTAAAAGAAAGAAAATAATCGTTTTTAATCATTAGTACGTACCGTTTTGTCGTGTAGTATGATCTCGTTATGTTTTCGTTCACTTTTTCAAATCAATTTCAAATTTGGTGAATGGAAAGCTAAACACACTCACTTCTTATGCTTATGGGGTAGCACATCAGAGCCAGACGTAAGACCTACATAATGGGTTTTAATTGATCGAATGCACACATTAGTCACCGTAGGCCACAAGCCATCACTCTTAATCAAATGAGCCCCGTGCTGGTGCGTAATGATGTGCTATGAAGTGAGATTTCAGATCCGAGCACATAATCAGCGAGCGCTAATCCGACGTGCATTGTGGAGCTTCCGGCTGAACGTTTGTGTGAGTATCAGCGTAGTCATTAGGTTATTGATCGCCGTAACCACATCCAGCGAAATAGCCTAAGGTCCGTTTTGTCATTGGAAAAATTCGGGGCTCACGAGCCACAAAAAATAAAATTTTTTGATTATGCGATTCAAAGATAGCAAAAAGTGACCAATGGAACCGTCCAGTTACGTAGACCTGGAAGATGTGAAAATAAAAATAGATTGTAGATGATGTCATTTAGGTAAAAAAAAAAAAAAAAAAAAATTTTGTTTTTAACAGTTTTTTTCCCAATATAGCTGATGATGTTAATTTGTTTTTGAAAGTTAAAAAATAATTCAGAAGGGTAGGTTGCCCAGTCAAAAAAGGAAAGAAAAATTTATGCTTTCAAACTTTATACTATCACTATCCAAATAACTACACATCTTTTCAATCAATATCATCGCCATTATCATTTTACGATCTCCATCGTCTTGAAAAAAATAAAATTCTCAGAAAAGACCGTCTTAAAATAAAAAAAGAACAACTCTGAAGTGCAAAGTTGACGACGACTGCTGACGACTGCTGACGACTTTAAAGAAATTTTTTGAAGACACAACAGTGTTTATAATGCTTATTATACCCTCAAGAGTAATTAGCAAGTGTAATTGAGTAAAGATATTCATCAAGACAGAAAGATGAAAAACAAATATTAACTTGTTATTACAATAATCAAGTGTTAACTTGACTACTACACACGATTTAAATATAACAACAAATAAAAGTCTGCAACTCTAGAAAATAATTTGAATTTAAACCGATGAAAAAAACAAAACTGAAGAATAAAAAACAAAACATGAAACTTAAATAATAAAATTGGGTATCAGGAAGCTAGAAAAACAAGAAAAATAATGATGCATTTTGAAACCGCATTTTGAAAAACAATTTAAAACTTTAAATATGGAACTCGGTGACCAATTAAAATAGTAAAAAAAAAAGTTGAATATTTATCTCAAGACAAAAAAATCTTCAAAAAAAATTAACTTAGACAAAACAAACGAAACAATTTCGGCAACTTAAGTTAAAAAACTGAGTGCAAAAGTATTTAAACTCCTTAAACAAGAAAAAAAACATCGATTTAAATGGTGTTTTGAATTTGATGGAAGATAAGGAAAACATAATTATGGGAGAGAGTTGAAAAAGGGTTCAAGTGCAGGAAAAAAAAATAGACAAATAAAAACTTTTAGAGCATGCAGGAAAAGATGTAATAAAAAGGTGAGATTTTCCTGAATTATGACTCAAATGAGAATTAGTTTTAATTAATGGAACTAGAATTAATAGCTACTTTAAGCAGTGACCATGATGTCATTCTCTAGAAACGTCAAAAAGATCAATTTTTTTTTTTTATTTAAAAAAGACGTTTTTATTTAAAAGACGTTCAGAACGTCTTTTGAACGTTTCTATATACAGCGAGCTAATAAAGAAAATAAACCAAGCAAGCTTATAAAGAAAACTACCATGCCAAACCTTATTGAAAGATTTTTATATTTTAAGAGTAACAGCCCTAGCCTCTGGTCTTACAAAATTATTCTGGAGAACACTTTTGTAAGACTATGACAAGAATGTTGTCTGGACCACAAGCCGTAGAAGAGTTTAATTGAAAAATTATTCTAGCAATGAAATTAGTTTGAATGTCTAACAATTACTTAAATTATTAATTTAATTATTAATTAAATTATTAAACTAGAATGGAATTTGTAGAATAATAAATAAAAACAAAATCTTTCCTCTATTTCCTTCTATTTCAATATTGAAGAGTTATATTGTATTGCAATACTGCTTTTTTTGATAAAGAGTACTTCTACCTATTTTTCAAGGTTTAGGGGTTAAGTGTTTGCATGGAAAACTCATAACTCAGATGAGGCCCTAAATTTTTATTGGCTTTTTTTTAGAATTATATTGTTATGGTTACCAAAAACTTGGCATGGAAACCATAGAAATGGGTTTAAATTCAGCTATACTTCACTTAAATAATGTAACCAAAGAAATATTGAAGGTTTTAGAGCACATTGGTTTGAAAAATTTTAAAAGCAGTAGTAACGAATTTATATAATTTACTCATTAAGCAAAACAAAAAGAATTTCACAGATAGAGAAAAAAAGCGTAGAAACGTATTGTGAGCCACAAAAAAAAAATAAATAAAAATTAGTAGATTCATATCAAAATCGTGCTTACACTGTAAAAAATGTCACGCCAAATTGTCTAATAAAATTGCTATGTCACGAAGCCCGATTTAACCCGCAACATTTAGAGTTAAAACTGTCACGCGACTTTTAGATATTAAGTTTGGCGCGACATATATAATTAAATCAGTCACGCGACTTTTAGCAATTAAATATGGCGTGACATTTATAATTAAATTTGTCACGCGACTTTTTAAAAATGGCGTGACAATTTAATTTCTTATTTGTCACGGGACATCTAAAACACCATCGTTTTGCATGTCACCAAGCCCGATTATTCACGCCACATTTAAAAAATTTAAATGTGGCGCGTTAAATCGGGCTCGGTGACATGCGACACGATAGTGTTTTAGATGTCCCGTGACAAATAAAAAATATAAATGTCACGCCATACGAAATCTCTAAAAATCGCGTGACTAATTTAATAAATGGCACACTTTACTTAAATTAAATAAATAAAAAGACCAAAGAAATAATGAAAATTATATTTTATTTGTATAAAAAGTAACCATCATCAAACATAAATATATATATTTAATTTTAAATTGTCTTAATGTTTTTATTCGAAGAGTTGAACAGTTGCAAAATACAACAAAACCTTTTACAAGACTCGGCATTTTTTTAACCAAAGCTTATTTGTACAAGCAAATGGTATTTGCAAGACGTAATGCTGCAACAGCCCCAAAACTCCCCAAACGATCTTGGGTACGACAAGTCCATAATATAATAATAAGCAATTAATTGAAGCACGTGTAAGGAATCATTATGCCGATGACCAATCGCAATTACTTTTCCTTTATCAACAAATGTTATTTTCTCTCCTAAAATGAGTTGGGGCCCAGGAGAAGAGACGTTATCTTCAGACTACAAATTTGTTAAAAAATAAAAATTTAAATCTATTTTAATAACATAACATTACAAAAATAAATAACAATTTAAAAAATCCAAAAAGAAACAACTATATGTTAAACTTACACTAGCAATAACAATTGGACACAACACTTCTTTTCTGGTAGTGTTCTTATGAAATCGTATTAGGGCAGACGGAATATCTGAACCTGGATACAACTTTTCAACAACTTGCAATAGCCTCTCTAATGCAGCTTCTTTGGAAACAATGCCCATTTTTTCAAATTCGTCCATGATCTATAAATTTTTAACCCATTTGGAATAACTTTTTGTTAAAAATGCGCAAAATAAAAATTTATTAAATAAATAACAAAATACTTATTACTTATAAAAGTTAAATGGGGAAGGGATCACATATAAAGGACCGCACATATATATATATATATATATATATATATATATATATATATATATATATATATATATATATATATATATATATATATATATATACATATATATATATATATATATATATATATATATATATATATATATATATATATATATATATATATATATATATATATATATATATATATCTATATATATATATATATCTATATATATATATATATTTGGCATATATAAAATTGTTATAAACACTTCATATTCCTAACCAAACAACGAATATGATCCATATCAGGAACTTTTTGTGCCAAAGGAAACTAACATACAAAGAAATTGCAATAACTCTAAAGTAAACCTTATTAAATTCTTCCTGTATATATTAGGTAATAATAATTTTTATTTAGAATATACTGATTAAAAACATTTCTAAAAAAAGGGCTCATCTGTATAACCTGTATGTCTTCATCAAATGAGCTGTCGTTTATTCCAGAGATGTTTAGCATTCTGTTTGCATTTTTTACCTCAAGCAAACTTTTTAAACGACGCTCACGTCGCTTCCGAATTACATTAGAAACGCGCTTTACAACTCCACCCTAAAAAAGAAAATTTATCATTGAAATAATATCTGATGAATTAAAAAAGTGGCATATTTTGTGTAACACATGGATGTGTTACACGAAACATGCATAAAACTGATGATTAAAAAAAACTGAATCTATATCTATTTGAATTTAATTTTAACCTTATTTGGAGTAATTATCCATACCTTATGTTCTGCTTAATTAAATATCTTTTAAAAATGATGTTGTGAACTATTTATTGGTTTTTATAATTTATATTTGGGTATATAATTTATTTTTGGGTAATATTTCACTGATGTTTTATGGAAAATTTACAAACATTAAAGTTCAAACTTACTGCACCCTCTTCTACAAAAGTACAGGTTGGGTATGACTGTTTCAAAAGGACAGTTACACGATTATAGAACCTTTTTCTTATTGAAGGGTTTCCCTCTGGAAGACACTCTTCAAGGTGATGCGCCAATTCACTGCAAACATCTTTTAAAGTATACTTACGGCAAGGCACCAAACCATTTAAATATTTGCTGCACTCCATTGAAAAGATAGGTAGCTAGTATTAAAAAATTATATATAATAATATGTATATATATAAACATTTTATTGCTTAGATAACACTTTAGCAAGTATATATTCTGTATGCATTAATACGCTTATATATTAATGAATGAAACACAAACTTCTCTAAAAAAACAGCAAAAAATTAAAAACAATATATATTCATATTCAAAATATTTATTAAGAAACAATGTTTTGACCTAGGCACAACTAATGTTGTGCCATCTACAGTAAATTTTGTCAATGGCCACGGAATTTGGAGATTTTCTAAAACAATTGATTTAAAAGTATTAGTACTTCTAACATGAAAAGCCAGTTTGTGAGGAATATAGCTGTCAATTGTCATGATACAAACTTTTACGCAATTAAGTTGAAGGTCAGTGATCTTATAAAGTTGATAAGAATCATCAATTGTTGAAATAATATCACCAACTTGGTATACAATTGAACCAATTACAATTCTGTTTTTTAAATGTTGAGTCTTTGCCGTAACAGGATAAGGTATCAGTTGACCATTATCATCAAGGAAGTTTGAAATTGTGTTCATTCGAAGATATTGACAAACTGATTTGGCAATGTTTTTAAAGTTATGCCATCGTAAACTTTTTATTTTATTGTGCTTTGCTTCAAAAGTCATACAAAATTGATTTTTTAGTGGACCAAATCGATGCATTTGTCCAACAAAATGAAGTAAAAAATGATGTTTTGGTATCAGATTATTTGGCCAAAATAAAGTAAATGATTTGTTATGCTTTTCAATAAGAGTTTCTAAATCCAAAATAGTTCTATACGTAGTTATTGGTGACAAAGTAAGTTGAAGAATTTGTAAAAGATCAAGAAAATTAACATAATAAGGATCATTGGAATTGCTGTATTGTCCAATAAAAAGTGGAATGATACGAGCAAGAATCAAAATTTGAGCAGATGTTTGAGACTCTGAAATATCAAAGGTAGTTGGACAAATATTGGGCTTATCTCTGGCTTCAGAGTATGAATAAGGAAACTGGATAATAAAACTATTAAGTGCAGCTAATGAGTATATACGTTTTTCACAAATATGCAATCGCATCAGAAGACATAGTTCATAGGGCACTAGTCCTTCAAGCAAAATGTGCATGGGATCCTGTGGTGCGTTTTCAATAATATCAAAAGCGGTGATTAGTAAAAGTGCACTCTCATAATTTATGCCATAAAATCTTGACCAATAGAGTTTAGATTTTTTACTTTTCACATTCTTGAGATCTAAGATATGTTGCTGGTGGTTTGCTTGAGTACGTAATATACACATATCTTCTCTAAAAATTGATGACATTTGTATATTTGTGGTGAGACATGTACAACAGCATCTAAATACATTTAGTGCAAAGCTGGTTTTAAATCCACAAATGTGATTTGAAGCTAATGTATCTCCCAAATATATTACAAATTTTAAAAATAGTTTTACACAACCAATCGTTGAATTAAAAGTAACACCATTGTTCAAAAGATTACAGGAAGTAATAAAATCTTCTAAGTAATGAAAATAAGCCCCTTTTTTATTAGACTTAAATAACTTTACAGGCACAACAGTGCCTGTAAAGTTATTTAACTTTGCCATCTCAAATAGTAAAAAATTATAACCTTTGCCACCAGCAAACAAAACTTCATTTATTTTCAAAATGTCAAACAAATCATTTAACAATTTTTCTCTTTGATATTTATTACTAAGGATATCCACTTGTGAAAAATACTTGTCAAAAGAATGAAAATGCTCTTCTTTTATTAACTTCCGAATATTAAGTAACATATTGGCGGAAATACTAAATATTGTATTTACAGTTGTTGAAGGCACTCTCAACTGACCACAGAGTTTAATTGCAAATGTTGTTTGTGAGTCTATTTTTATCTTTGGAAAGGGTAAAACTGCTTTTTCATTTTTTTTGCAAATGTGCCTTGATACTCCTCTTGTTGATTTAAATGAGGCATTACAAATTTAACAAACAATTTTACATATTGAACTTATACCTAAATGTCTGTCCATACATGCACTATTTTCAGACATAAATCCACAGCAACATACCTTAACTCCAATCTCTAGAGAGAGTGGAGACTGGACAGTAGCTGGGACATTTATAATTTGTGGCTGCAAAATGAACGATGATTGTGTCGAGCTTTTACTTGTACCAGGAGAATCCCCTGAACTTTCTATTAATTGGAACAGAGTTCAACATTTCAAGAAATGTCGGTTCATATGTTACTCTTTGGAATGATGGGTCTGATTCTGAAATATAATTATCATATATTAAAACACGAAATATAATTATCATATATTAAACATAAGAGAAGCATCAAGAAAAATATTATTAGTTTAGAACAAACTTTTAAAATAATAAGAAAAAATCGGACATAATGATTTTAGACTAATTTATAGTAAATTTTTACCAATAATCTTGACAATGATTTCACATGGATTAGGAAGAGCAATTATCATCTCATCTTCTAAGACCATGTCAGAAAACATCAAATCAAAGTCATCTGGCAATACATTGATCTTTGAGGACACTACAACAAAACATTATTTTCATATATTTTATGCATAAATTGGGTAAAACTATGACAATTTTATAACAAACTATGTTTAACTAAACAACATTAGATAGCAATATCTTTAGGCATAGAATACAGTAATAGTATAAAAATAGCAATTAGATTATCTAATAGATACTATTTTATAAATTGTATTTTAAGCTTATTTTATAATTTTACTTTAAATAAGTAAAATTAATAAATAACTTTGATAATACTATTGTCACAAATTTTGAAAATATATACTGAAAGTAAAATTGTTATCTTGAAATTGTAAACATTTTAGTAACTGTAACTATGTATACCTAAAGATATTAGCATACGTATCTATTGTAATTATTACTATTGTGTGTTGGCTTGATTAGTTTATACAATTTGTGATACAATTAGTAGTTTGGATTATCTTAAACAAAGATAAAAACCAAAATAAAAATTAAAAACTAAACCTGTAATAAAATTATCAGAACAAATTCTAGAATAATATAAATCAAAAGATAACTTTTCAGGTTTTATTACAATAAACCATTTACTTTTAGTGCAATAAAAGTAAATGATTTAGTGCAGCAAAAAACTTCTTTCTATTGTTGTAGAAATCCTCGTCGTGATTAGAAATTTTGATCGAAATACGAATAAATTACTTAAACAACTTTCGATTTGATTAGCCGAAAATACAAAGGACTTAGATGCTATCAAAATTATACCAATAGATAAATAAAATTTAAATATGACATAACAATCAATGTGTATACACATTGATTATTATATACTATTAATTGCGTATTTGTTTGTTTCTCGAACCACCATTATAAGTTCTATTTTTAAAAAAAAAAGCTAGTGTGGCCAGGTCACACAGAAACTCTGACATAAATAGCCTAATAAAGTTTTTTTTAAACAAAAATAATTGTAAATAATCGATTGGCAGTCCAATTGCTAATAATAGAAATGTACACAATGGCATTGTGTAAAGATAATCGTTATCATAGTGTATAACATTGTAAAACGAGCTTGAAATACTCAATGATGCATTAAGAATAAGAATTATAAATAAAGAATAGGTATTCCTAATATATCATTGAAAATACTTATCTCAGATTAATTATCAACTTACTTTACTCTCATAAGTTATGACAATTTATGTAGAGTGCATTTTTAGCTAATATTTTAAACATTAATGGTAATGTAATAAAAAGTAAAACTCGTTGCAAAGAAATTTTTACCTTTAGATTTAAGCGTGAACAAATTATCATCTACAGCCAAAACCACTGGCATAAACTTTAATAAATAGGAAAATTTAATTATTTTAGACATTTTAGTCACAGAATGAACCACGAAAAATTAATTAATGTGATATTTCTTTTTTTCGCTGCGGACACATGTTTTATTAGTCACGCGACATTTAGCGCGTGGCGCGAAATTTATTAGTAAGGCGTGACATTTAAACAATTATACTCTCCGTGACATTTATAATTGCGTGTAAACTTTAATGTCGCGCGACTTAGATCATTTCTGTGCAAAGATTTAAAAAAGTGGCGTGAAATTTAAACATTTTGCTGGGACATTTAAGAATTTGGCGAGACATTTTTTACAGTGTACTGAGCAGATGTTTTGTTTTTCGTTATAACTCAAAACATGATAACTCGAGAATTGAGACACGATAACTCAAAACGATAATTCAAGATAGATTAAGAATTTGACTCGAAATTTTAAAGTTGTTTTTATGTTGAACATAAACACAACTTTAAATTTTTAAAGATTTGATTCTAGTAGCACTGTGTTGCACGAATCTTCCAAAATGAACTTGAAACTGTTGATCCATATTCCAACTGAACACGAACTAATGATTTTTATAGTAACCTTAATGAAAAATCATCTAAATACTCAAAAGAGTTTTTGATCATGCCTAATTTTCTGTTTGGTTTGCCAATAGCTGAGTTAATACGATGTTTCCACTCTAGATTATTTGAAATGAAAATTCTAAGATCTTTTTCTATTGTTGTTTCAGTTAAAATTTCTTCATTCTTCTTTTATATTCATTTTATATTCATATCTAGATTTCTTTTTTTACCAATATGCATGACCCTACATTTTGATTCATTAAATTTAATTAACCAATCTTATATCATTTTGGTGCTGGTAACAGACATGTACTGACTCAATAAACATACTTGCTGTTGTGTCACACTTATTTATAATTTTATTAATGCTTACGTCGTTCCACTTGATGTTTGCATAATAAAAATCACGAAATATTAAAATATTAGAACATTTGTTATTTTGTTTGAGTTTGAGAATATTAGAACATTTGTTATTTTGTTTACAACCACATAAGATTTTCTCTTCGCCAATTTCAGTCAAATACCATAGATGCTCAATTTTTTCATTTATTAGTGATTGTTAGTTTATTTTATAAGATTTATTATTTTCTTGTATATGAATACATACTTCACCACCACGACTTTCTAAACAGATTATACAATACAATCCTTTCTGAACAGATTATAACCCAGAATATTAGTAGTAGACATTACTAACAACCAAGTCTCGCACACAAATATAACTTGAACCTTAGATTTGGATATATTATCAGTGAATTCGTCAAATTTATTATTTAAAGAGGTTGCACTTGAATACCTTTAAAATAAAAACTTTTTTAAGTTCTTAATTCATTTTGTTTACCTGCAGTGTATTAGCAAATCCAAATACGAATCAAACTCAAATGCGAATCGAAAAAAGAAAGACTTAAAAAACTTTAATTCTGTTTAAAATAAAAAAAAATTGAACGGTTTTTTGAAAACACGTGACAAAATTTTCTTTTTAATAAAAATAAAATTTTATTTCTTTTATTTCATTTAAAACATAAAATATAAATTGACATAAAAATTTTATAAAAAACTTTGATCTAAGTTTTGTTTTTTTCTAATTCGCAATAACTATGTTGAGCATAAAATTGCCCATACTATCATTGGCGAATTTACAAATAAAATGGAGGGTAGTGAATCCACAGAAACGTTCTGACTGAGTCCTTATAAAAAAGAAAAATAATAAAAAAATAATGGTCCTCAAAACTAAAAACCAATCAGTGTGGGTTACTACCTGGGATTATTTACCCTTACAATCTGAAAGTTGTTTTAAGGATCGTCCATAAAGTACGTACGCTCTGAGGGGAAGAGGGGTCTACAAATGGCGTATGTGAGATGGAAGGGCAAAGGGTCAATTGTAAAATTAAGAAGACACTAAATTTAAAAAAATATTAGTACTTTTAGGGAGGTGGAAGGTACTCAAAAATGCGTATTGCAAACTACGGAAAGAGGGGGAGAAAGTAGACGAAAAAAAAAACGTACGTACTTTATGGACGACCCCATACTATATTATCCTTACAAGCGAGATAATTTCTCTTTCATTCTCGGAAAACTAAAGTTTTCCGAGAATGAAAAAACTTTATTATGGATTTTAAAAACTGCCTCTTATATTATACCTATATTTTCCCCTTCAGTATAGTAAAAATTATATCATAGTATGAAAATGCTTGATCATGCAATGATTATGAAAAAAATATGTAGTTGCAATTGCAAATTAAGAGAGCATATAATTGTTAAGGAATTTTATTTTTGTTATAATTATTTATTTGTGATTATATCCTGTAATTATATCCTGCGGTCGTATTTTGTAATATTGTCGTGTAATAAAAGTAATTAAAGAGAAAACTTTTATAAGAATAACTTAAAAAAAAATTAGTATAAAAAAGAAACAACTAGTGATCTTGGTTATCTTGGTTATTGTTTTAATTTTATATTAAATTATTTTAATTAAATTATTGATTTTATTATAAATATATCATATAAATTTGGACCACAAGTAACAGTTTAAACAGTTTTTTATTAATCTTATTTTAGAAAAAAATTTTAGAACATGTGCAGAAATAAGTGTAAAGTTATAAACGATTGCTCACAAAACTTGTGACATTAGATGTAAAGATATTAAAATATTTTTTATTGACAACACTCAATGAAAGTCTTGTTAAAATTTGTAAAAAAAAAAATCACAATAAAAAAAAAACTACAGAAAATAAATTAAATTAAGGAAATTTGGCAAACCTAGCAAGGTCATCACTTACCGTTTGACTTCAATTATTTAAATAATTAAAAAAATTATTCAATTATTCAATTATTTAAATAATTAAAAAAATTATGATATTGAAACATTTTAATTTTCAATTTTCCTTTTTAAATTTAAAAAAATTACTTTAACAAACAAAATTTATTCTAATATTGCAAATGCTTTGTACAATAATAAAATACATTATATACATTATACATATACATTATATATATATACATAGGGTGTTTCAAAAAAAGTTCATGTCCAAAAAAAAAAAGAGCCCTAGCTTATCATCAGCCCAAACCATGGTTTAGTACTAAAAAAATTTTATTTTTCAATTTCTGAAAATTCTAAGGCTCTCTTCAGGGGGTAAAAGCGGCAATTTTAAGGGCGTTTTATACCCTTTTTAAAACTGTTTGAAGGAAATCTTGACATAAAAATTTTTCATTTTTTTTTCAATATTTATGCTTGTTAAGATTTATTTAATCTAAATAAAATAAACTCTACTAAAAAATTATTTAAATTATAAAAAATTTTAACTCAATAGTAAAGTTTCATTTTAAGTTAAAATACAGGAAATCCAGTAATTTCATGAATTTTTTTATTCTTTCTTAAAGTGGTATTAACAAAAAAATGTACATAAAAAACTAGATTTTATTTATGTTTGCACTTGTTTAAGCATGTCAAAAACTAGCCATGACTTTTCTGTTATTATTGGAGTCAAACTAAAAAGCTCATCTTTACTGAAGTTGAGGCTATTCAAAATTGCTTAATCCATTACCTGGCGCCCCAAAGAAAAAAACTGTGACTTGGACATTTTTGTAAACTATTGAGCTTTTTGGCTATATCGCCACTTTCTCTACATTCTTTAACTGCTAAGGCAAATATTACTAAAGTAGGATCTAGATACCAAGTGTGTCTGAGAATAGAGCTTGCAACAGCTTAAGAGCCAAGTAGGTTCCATTCCTCAAACCTTTACATTTGCCAATAAGCTTTTATATCCTAATAAATAATATCCATTAATATTTTAAATTACTTTAATAAATAAAAGGCTTTCTAACTTATTTAAAAAATACTAAAAGACTAATACCTGTGTTGGTGCCAAAAAACTTAACTCTGCTTTTAGAAACCACACTGTATTGAAAAGACAAATGAATAAAGCCATACCAGTTATTTGTTCTTTATGTTTGTCAGTCATGTTTTGGATTTCATTCATTAAAAGATACAATTTTAAATAGTATAAACGATTCCCCATAAATCTTGAATGGTGAACTGGGCCTGGTAAATGAAATTTAAACATAT